GCTTGGTTCTTGAATCAGCGGGAAGGGATCACTCTTGCAGTCTTGAAGATGGCCCTGTGCAGGAGAGTCCCTTGTGTAGACTGCATGTGCCTCATGTTTTTGGCAAGCTGGTGGCCAAGGAAGTGTGAGATGGGCTTTTCCTGGTGCTGGGGCTCCCAGGGCATGGTCTCAGGGTGTGGCCTTGGGGCCCATTGGAGGGGCTCCTGGGTGGGTGCCTTGGGGTTTTGCACTGGTTGGGGGTGAGGGTGGTGGTCCAGTGGTGGGTTGGGAGCACACTCCGGGTAACTCCAGGATTGGCACCAGCTGTGTGCCCTGAGCCTCTCCATCTGAATACTCAAGCAGGCTCTGGGCTGCATGGGACCACTTGGGGGGATTTCCCGAGTCAGGCATACACCAGGTCCCACCGAGGGCATGGAGTCAGGCTCCATGCATGATCCCCATTGGCCCCTGGGTGCTCTGGGCTGCTCCTGGGAATTCCCGCGTCAGTACCTGCCAGGTCTCACTCATGACCAGGGGTCAGGCCTGGCACAGGTGTTTCCCCACGGTGCTCTGGGGAGGGTGCTTTGGTGGCACCAGCCTGCAGATTTGTGCACCCTCCTCATGAGCCAGGGACATTCTGTGTCCTACTGATGAGGGCTGGACAGGTGGATAGCACAGTCAGTAAGGTGGGATCACACCCAGATCCTGCTCTCGGCTGCCCTGAGATGTGCGGAAGAAGTGTCAGCTGTGGCCCTGGTGGCTCCCCTGATCCCGGATGGTGGAGGTTGAGTTCCGAAACAGGTGCTTTCACTTATGGTCTAGCTGCACTTGAACCGTAGCGCTCTTATCCTGTGCCTCAGGGCCGGGTCCTTGCCTGTCTCTCCCCTGATGTCCCTCCTCCCCTCTGCCGGTCGCTGTGCTGGGGGTGGGGTGCTGTCTCTCCTACCGTTCTGTTTTTAAAAGTTCTATCTTTCTGTCCCTCACTGTACAGAAGGTGTTCACTTCGGTCCCCATTCTTCTTCAGGGCGAAATGCTCTGTGTGGAGGTGGGAGAAGGTGGATTCAGGCCTCTCCGCTCTGCTATGTGCCCAGAATCTCCTGTCCGAGGAGCTGGTTCCAACCTTGTGGATGAGCCTGGTTATCTCATGTGTTATTGCCGCAGCAGTGTGTGTAACATCCAGTTTAATGTTGCTATAAAGACAAATCTTACAAAATATAACCTCCCAACTGTGAATCTGGAGTCAAAGCTACATTGGCAAAGGGAATCTCAGGAACGAAGGCTCCTCCAAACTCTAGGGAGAGCTGCAGCTGTGCCCACCTGCTTGCAGCCGATGACTCCCATGAAATCAGAGGCTGGAGCATCAGCGGGGGGTAACTGGAGGTCACTCTGGGGGACACCCCATGTTCCCAGGGCAACATCACAGTGTGCCACCAAACTCCCCGAGCTAAGGGAAGAGCTGAAGTTCAGATTTTGATGATAAAGAAGGCAGGCTGTCCTTTGCTCCTTCCAGATGACATCATGAATGTCCACTTTTCTGTGATGGTGAGCAAGACTGGCACTGTGCCCTCCTGCACCTTGAGAGCAAACTTGGCATTGAGACCCTTACAGAATTCCGCTGATGTCTGTCTTTGGCTCGTGATGGAACCAAGATTGAGGTGCTGGGCTGGGGAAGCTGTGCTTTCAGTTAACTGAGTGACCCTGCTTACCTGCGTCACGAGCGGCGAAGCATCAGAGGCGCTGAACCCCGTTTGTCGTGAACCAAGTGGCCCCTGAACAGGACAGAAGGCTTAGTTTGTGGGAAATACAATGGACGTGAGAGGGGGGCAATGCTGGGATGGAGGCGTCAGAAAGTGTGTCGCGGCTGGTCATCCATCACAGTTTAGATTATCTGGGCCTTTAGTCACTTTTTTCTTCCTATGCTGCATTGTTTCCTTTTGAGTTTTTACTTTTAGAAATTATAATTTGTTTAAATTGTTTCTCTTTGGTTTTAACAGTGTGATGTTTCCTACCCACCCAGACCCCTCCACTGCTCTATCAGTGGAGCTTGAGTGGAGGCCTCTGTGAGCCATCACATGAACAATCTGCTTTATAAACTTTGATTCTTAGAGCGATTAATGTTTACTTTAAAGTCCCAAATTATTATACCCCAGTGTTAAGGAAACAATTTTTTATCACTTATAATCTGCACAAAAATGGTACCTTGATATTAAACCATTGGTGTTAAAATGCTGTCTGATTTATGGAATACATTTTTCACGAACGTATTGTTTTCTGCCAGATGTAAAATTATTTTTATTTTATTTTTACAAACAGTTTAAAAAGACAGGAGAATGTGTAGAATTGCAGGCTCTGTTTGTCCACGACTCTGACCTTTGATTCCTTTTTTGGGAAAATAGTTTAGCATTTCTTGCACAGAACCAATCCTGTTTTAGCGGAAGAGCATTACACTGTCATTCCCTGACAGGTGATAAGCATGTTGTGTAAACCCCACGTCTCCAGAGGTACATGAAAAGGCTGGATTGGCTGAAATCATAAAGGTCCGGGCCGAGTTCTGAGTTCTACTGAAATTCAGTTATTTTCGGAGTCCCAACGAGTCAGTGCAGGAAGTGTCCCCACTTAGATTCTTAGAAGCGCATTAGAAGCGCACCGAGCTGCACCGCCTTTCACGCGTTTCTCCCTGGAGAGAGCTGAGAACAAAACACTAACTGAAGCAAAACCCAAACAATCTGGACTCATTAGGAGAAGGTCAGTCTAAATCTGTGGAATCCCTGAATTGTTGTCTAATTAGAAGAGACACGATGGAGCTTTAAAGCCTGGGTACTTCCGGTGCACAGAGTAACTCACTAAGCTCACAGAGGTCCTTGGGGAATCTGTTTTAATGAATAAATTAAAAAGTGTAATTAGTACTATATCTGTTATGATGCTTTTGGCTGTAAAGAACAGAAAACCCAAGAGAAGTGCCTTCAGCAATAAGAACACTTATCACGCCGTCTAACAGGAGGCTGGGAGGCCTCTGTGCGATGGAAGCTTCCAGAGTGGCCGGCTCGGGGGCTGGTGGTGCGGCCGAGGGCCGGGCTCCTCCCCATCGCCACCCTGCCGTCCGGAGCCCGCGGCTGTGGCCTCAGGCCGGTCCCCGCGCTCCCTGGAGCTGTGACTCGGCTCCGTGCAGCACCCAGCACCCGGAGACACGTGCGTGCCGACGGGGGGAGGCCACCTCCTTCCCTGCGCCTTTTTCAGGTAGTGGAAGAGTGCCTCCCAGGGCCCCCCAGGGGTGCGCCGCGCGCCTCTCCTAATCCTTGTCCCTGGCCGGTGGCGTAGACCCATCAACATGTCCTGCGGTGTCTGGCGCGGACGGGGCCCGCGCCCCTCTGAGTTCCGTGACTAGTTCCTGAAAACAAGGAAGCAGGCAGGGCGCGCTGTGGGGCGGGGGTGGGCGCCTGCTCGGGCCTGGATCGGGCATCTTCCCGTCGCGGTGGGAGGCCTGGCTGCCCGCCTGCTCCCCGCCTCTGAACCCCGCCCCTCGCGCTCCTCAAGAGCCTTGGGCTGCCAGTGACTCACTGCCTTTCTGTGCACATTCAGCCTCTTCCATCACACGAATCCTCCTGGCTGGATGCCCGACGTGCGGAGAGCCCGCCTGCCGTGACCGGTGCCCCCTCCCTAGGCCTCGCTCTCTCCGGGCATCCCGTCTCCCTCACACGGGAAGGGCCCCTGTTTGGAGGGACCGGCTTCTCTCTACTTTCCCCACCTCCACCCTCCCCTTGGCCTCTTCTGGCCTTAGCCTGCGACGGCACCAAATGCAGCCCGCGTCTGTTCTCATCGCACCTGACCTTTCACCTTCAGCTAGGCTTGGGCCCCTCTCTTGTCCTTGGAACACTCTGTCCTTTGGCGATACTCACCCATCTCCTGAATTTCCTTCTATCTCTGGCCACCCACTCTCTTTCCTCTCTTTGGACTTCTGATTCCCCACTGGCTGTTAATGTGGGTCTTGGTGGGGACTGGGGGAGGGCATCTTTTCTTCTCACCTGGATCCTCCCCAGGCACACAGTAGGACACCAGCCGGTGTCCTGGGTGACTGATGGGCGGAGACCCCCCCCCAGGCCAAGGTCCTGGGTGACTGATGGGCAGAGACCTCCCCCCAGCCCAGCCTCCTGGGTGACTGATGGGCAGAGACCCCCCCAGCCCAGCATCCTGGGTGACTGATGGGCAGAGACCCCCCCAGCCCAGCATCCTGGGTGACTGATGGGCGGAGACCCCCCCCAGGCCAAGGTCCTGGGTGACTGATGGGCAGAGACCTCCCCCCAGCCCAGCCTCCTGGGTGACTGATGGGCAGAGACCCCCCCAGCCCAGCATCCTGGGTGTCTGATGGGCGGAGACCCCCCCAGCCTGCGGCGCACACACAGTGCGTGCCCTTGGCTTGCTGGGACTGTGGTCTCATCTGCCTGTTCTGACTGATATGGAAACACAATTAATGGAGTCCCTGTGGAAGCCTTTCTTTTTTTTGGCCACAGAACCAAATGATTTTCCCCAAGAGCAGAGAGAGCCCAGGCACTGATTAAAGATAGCTCCTTGCCTTTTGCCAACAAGTCACGAAAACTGGGTGACAGCATGCAAGGAGAATGTGGGCACCACTGTGTGAAGGGTGGGGCCACCCACATCTCTTGAACACTGATAAAGAGGGTGCTGGTTGGGTCCCCAAGCACATGGAGAATTACAAAGGCATATGGGTGGCAAATCCACTTCTTTTACATGAATGGGATTCATGGTGTTTTCTCTTAAAGATTTCTTCTACAGTTTTATTAAATAGGTTGGCATTTTGTTGGTGGATCCAGAGGTAAAAATACAGAGCAGATACACTCGTGTATTTGAAATAACAACCGTGGAAACACTATGGTGCCTTTTCCTGCTTTGTCCATAGAAGTGGCCTAAAAGTTCACACAATTTCATGTGCTCTTTGCTTCATTAAAGGAGTTTGACATTGGTTGACCATGACTAAGTCTAAACCATGGTGTGTTTTCCTCTAGATGCCAGCTGAGATCGTTAAAGATGAAGAGATCCAAGCGGACACTCCCGATCAGGAAGGCAGCGGGGTGAGTTAACCCTCTTATTTGGTAGTTCTTAACGGCTTAGGTCTTAGGGACCTTTTGTCCGTTCAGCATGTTGAGTAGAGCTCATGTCTGGTGGAGAAAGGATCAGAAAGCCCAAGGTGGTCCCAGGACACAGTCCAGCATAGAATAAGAAATGGCATGTTTTCCAGGCGGGCGGGACCTTAGAGCAGGTCTCTTGGATGTCACAAATTACACGAGTGATTGCAGTGGCTTCTCTACTTGTCCTAATTACCTGTTACTGTATTTGCAGCCACAGACTGAAAAACATTTTTACCTAACAACTTAAAGATATATTTTTAGAGGGAAGTCAAGGGAGGTGAACCATGACCCTGTCTGCATGGACACCATCAGCATCTATTGTGTGTTGTGTTGAGTGACTAGCATCTCGGTGGAAAGCGAGGCTGCGTGCAGCGTGCACTCTAGATAGCAGCAGGAGCAGCCCCCCAGCATCCTGGCTGTGTGCTCTGGGGTCTGCTCTCTGTCCAGTTCAGATGCTCCTGGTATGCTGTCAATCCAGGAAGCGTATCTCTGTGGTACTCTAGGAGGTTGTGTGACTAGGCTATATAAAATATGCATTGAGAAAATGTTACTTTTATCTTAGTTTTTTTATTAAGTATATCTGGCAGTTAAAAACCATATTTATTTAGGGTATACACTTCGGTGAAGTCACTGCCACAATCAAGCTAGTTAACACACCCATCCCTCCCTACAGATCAACAGCCTTCTTTTCTTTTTTTGTGGAGAGAACATTTAAGTCAAAATTTATTTTAAGTATACAATCCCATTTGCTAAGAAGTAGGTTTTTTGGAAATTTGTTTCTGTGACTCCATCTCTAGATTTTTTTTTCCAAGGTGGTTTCATGTTTTTAAATTTTTGGCCCTCGGCCAGGGGTTTGTATAAAATCCAGTGGAGCAAGTCCAGTCTATCCCGACGCTGAGCCCTCCAGGGCTGCAGATAAATGTGGGGCTGCAGCACCTCGCAAACGTGCCCACAGCTTCCTGGCTCCCACCCTGGACAAGAGGGGGGAATAGCCCCAAGGGCTGTGGGAGGGGGTGGTGCTGCTGGGTCCCACCGCCTTGAAAAGGGGTGTTTGTGGGAAGGGACACGCATACTCAGGAAGTTGGCTCAGGTTTCTCAATGTCAGTGGTGCTTATGACCTAAGACAGCCACAGGGAATAATCTTTCAAACAGCTCTCTTCCCTTATACTCTTAAATATCTTTGATTTGCAGGCGGGTTTTGGTGGCCATGTAGAGTCTGTGTCTAGATGAGCAGGAAAGACCTTCAAATGAAGAGGAAAGGGGCTGTTAGTTGCTGGTGACAGTGTAGCCTGCATTCTGGGGTGGAGTGACGGACGGGGCAGAAGAGTCGCGTCCCAGAGCAGGAGGAGAGGGTGCGCGGGTCGTTTGCTTGTGTTGGGGTGGAGAGGAGAGGGGAGCTGTCATGTTCCAGTTGTAATAGCTGAATGCATATTTTAAAGGAAATACAGGCGTTTTGACCACATTGAGTTTATGCTATAATCTGAATACTTTGAGTGGACTGAACAGTGAAATTTACTGGGGCCTCCGGGAGTGCTGACATGTCTTCGCAACTTGACATCAGTCACTAGATTTGATTTCTTAGAGTGAGTCAGTCTTCCTTAACGCAAGTAATGGCACACCCAGGCACCCAGTTGTTAGATGTCTGGGTTAAGAATCTAAACTTTTGGGGTGAGGAGGGATCTGGAGCAATCAAGCCTCCATGCTTCTGCCCAGACATTACTGACATCAAGGCAGGCTGGGCACATCTAGAGAGCAAGCGCCTCTGTGCTGAGCATTTGCTCTGTTGGGCACCGTGCCAGCCTGTCACACCTGTCCCCCAACCTGTTACGCCTGTCCCCCTGCTTGTCACACCCATCCCCCAGCCTGTGACACCCATCCCCCAGCCTGTCACACTTGTCCCAGTCACCTCACATTCACTCTTCCAGCTGGAGTCAACACGCCACTTTACAGACTCAAAGACAACGGGATGGGGAGGGCTGGTGCAGCGTGATGCCATCATGCGGTCAGGAAAGGCGGGGAGCTTGGATTCGAGCCCAGTCTCAAATGATCCCCAAGGCTGTGTTTTCTCCCCAGCGAACTGTGCTGGTTGTGCAGGATTTCCCAGAAGAGGTGTTTACAGCACAGGCTTCACGGTGTGTCCCTCAGCGATCAGGCACCTGGGGACGCTGTTCTGTGTAACCAGGTGCGAGAATCCAGGATTAGTTCTGCCAGGTCCACGTGACTCCATCCCTGCCTCTAGCATGACTTGAACCAAACTTCACTATTTTCCTGGTTTGCATGAAATGCCCCATGAAGTGGAGGTTTTCAGCCCTGAAATTTAACCCATGTTTTTGAGGGATGGAGAGCAATCATTTCATGTGCATTTTAACAGCTAGTAAAACCAATAATGTAAAAGAAACAGTACTCGGTCAGCCTTCCCGGCCAGTGGGCCACTGGGATCCTTGGTGACCTGTACTTTTACCTGTGATTTCATTTGTCTAATAATTAAAAAGCATCAATCAGGTTATGTTATTTGACATTGACTGTATTAGTTTTTTTAGGCACATTATTTCTCCCTCCCCCGAATAGGCTGTGAGGTCCTAAGGGCCTGAGCCTCGCCACCTGTGTTGTCCTCTTCTGTGTCCTTTACTGTCTGGGGAGGGCCTCCTAGGCAGCAAGTATCGTAAACACTTGTGGATTCGCTTCAAGTTACCTGTGACGAGGCTGCTCCTACTTAAGTCATATAACCCCAGAGTAACATGATAGTGACCTTGCAAAGTGGTGAGAGAGCATGTTATTTTGACCATTATTTAAAAATATATTTTGTATTTCTGATGTTTGATCACAAGGGCTTCTATCATTTAAGTTTTTTTTTGTGGTAAAATATATATGTAACAAAGTTTGCCATTTTAACCATTTTTAAGTGTACAGTTCAGTGGCATTCAGTACATCTGCTGTGTCGCCCACCCAAACTTTTCCGTCCTCCTGAATAAACTCTGTGGGCACCCAGCTGTCAGCACCCCACTGTCGCACCTACTGGCCCTGCCCTACCGGGGTGGAAGGGCCATGTGGATGAGGCGCTGGGGTCAGGTCCTGCTCGCCGCCCGCCCCGTGTGTTGGCTTTGTCACCTCGTGCGTCACTGGCACAGGCGCGGGTGACCTGAGGGTCGTGAGCAGCGGCGGAGCTCCGCCTCCAGGTGGCGCCACCCCGGAGTGCTCGTGCCAGGCGGCAGGCGGGACGGGCACGCGCATGATGTTTCATCTTGACAACGGAATATCCCCGACATCGACCGATCGGCTAGTCGGAGAGACCGTGAGCGCGCAGAGACGGGCGTCCGCCTTCCCTTCCCCCGCCTCGCGCGGCGTCGGGGGCGCCCGACTGTGAGCGCGTCGGGCTCCTGAGCGCGGCTGGGGTGGAGGCCGCCCGCTGGGGCTCCGCAGGGACGCGCGGCTCTCAGCCCAGCGCACAGAGCGCCCGCCCGGCCCCGGCCGTGCCCCGACCCCCGGGGCGGCCCCGGCGTGACCCCGAGGCTCTCCCCTGACCTTCAGGCCTGGCCTACCAGCCCGTTTGGAGCGTCCCAGTTCCCCTCCCGTTGGAAAGGCCGCATGCAAACCCCACGGACGACTCTGTGCATCGTACGAAGTGCAGGGTTTGTGGTCAGCGAGCTCCTTCCCTGGAGGGCGAGCCGGGCCGCGTCTGCCTCCGCTGCCCCCGCGGGCTGCCTGGCGCCCGGGCCGCTCCGCCCCTCCCGCCTCAGGGCCCCCTCCCCGTGCCAGGCTCCCCGGGCTGCCTGGGCCCCACCGGGCGGTGCGACCCTCCTCCCGGACCCCCAGCGGGGCTGGCTTCGCACTTCTTACCTGTCGGCACCACACTCAGAGCTGTTGGTGAGCCTGTCGCCGAGAGGCGGGCTCCCCGAGGAGGTGCTGCTCCGCTCCCGGCACTGTCACCGCGACAGTCTTCCTCGCTGTGAGGGCGGGGTGACCGTCGTGGGGACCCCGGCCCGGAGGCTGCGGTGTGCCCAGGACCGCGCACGGACTCTCCGCGGAGCACTAAAAAGCGAGGCCCAATACTCACTGAGTCCCAAAGGCTACCTTGTAAGAAGTGATCGTCCCCAAAGACTTGACATTTCTCTGTATGAGAATCAAATCTTCTCTTTGGAAAATACTATGAAGTCAAAAGTCGACCCAAGCATGGAAGGAACTATTTGCAACCCAAATACAGTTTTCTTAATTTGCAAAGAGCTCATAAGTCACTAACACAATATAAAAGACGCATGTGAAAGAAATTCACAGAGAATACAAATCTCCAACAGACGCAACAAAATATATCCATATCAATGCTAATTAAAAGAATGTAAATAATGAACGAGTTTCTTTTTTTGTTCTGTGTATCAATCGTTTATTATTTTTTTTGAGGGGACTGTATTTTCTTTTTTTTAAAAAAATTTTTATTTAGGTATTATTGACATACACTCTTATGAACGTTTCACATGAAAAAACAATGTAGTTACTACCTTTACCCATATTATCAATTACCCACCCACACCCCAATGCAGTCACTGTCCATCAGTGCCGCAAGATGCCACAGATCCACTGTGTGCCTTCTCTGGGCTACACTGTTCTCCCTGTGATCCCCACACCATGTGTAGTAAACATAATACACCTCAATCCCCTTCTCCCTCCCTCCCCACCCGCCCTCCCCCACCCCTCCCCTTTGGTAACCACTAGTCCCTTCTTGGAGTCTGTGAGTCTGCTGCTATTTTGTTCCTTCAGTTTTGCTTCATTGTTATACTCCACAAATGAGGGAAATCATTTGGCATTTGTATTTCTCTGCCTGGCTTATTTCACTGAGCATAACACCCTCTAGCTCCATCCATGTTGTTGCAAATGGTAGGATTTGTTTCTTTTTTATGGCTGAATAGTATTCCATTGTGTATATGTACCACCTCTTCTTTATCCATTCA